CAAGTGGCAGGACGTCTGATCAATTAAATGGCCGATCAGTTAGGAGAATCAAACATAATTGAACAGTAATAAACCAAGACGACGACAGCAAACAATCAGTCAACCAACGAACCTAGTAATTTACAACTTAAGTTCCTCTCCGATTTTAGACGCGATATTTTTGAACCCGATGGAAGTCCCCGATATCCTCTTAAATCGTACGCCGTTGAGCGAGAGACGAGGCAGCTTGCACACCTCCATCTCCCACTGCACCACGGAATCTGCGTCCCCGTGACAACACAGCAACAGGAAACGATCCCGCTGTTCATAGTCGCAGGAGTTATTATCGAGCACGCGTCTGATCTCTCTCATCATCTCACTTGGGTCCTTCGAACTGGTCGTCTTCATACTCCAGGTGAAACGTAGCGAGCGAGGTTTCGTAGAGTTAGGCATGGCAGACGAGTAGACGCCAGATGACTCCAACAATGTGTGGTGCTGTGATTGTTGTTGATGCTGCTGCTGTTGTTGTTGTTGTTGTTGTTGAGGAGTTGATGTAGGACCAGAGGCAGGGTTTGAATGGCCATCCAGCGTAGTTCTGAAAACAAGGGTATAACAATTTATTCACTTGCTTACAAGTTATGGAAAGTTATCAATTCATTTCGAAGAGTAATTAATTATTAATTGGCAAGAGACAACAGACCTGCGGCCGAACTTAGATGTCAATTTCTCAAGGAAGGAAGATCTAGTGGACGAATATTGATAATTACCCCCGACACCGCCCAGCATATTATTTCCGGCGGGCCCATTCAACGTGGAGGCCTGACCACTCCTGTTCGAGGTGGGTACCCCGTCCTTGTTGGGCACACCGCAGACGGTGCTCCTGGCCCCCACACCTCGAGGAAATTTCGAAGAGGCAGTGCTCGCTAACGTCGTTGCTGGTGAGTGGCTGATGAATGGCAGGGTGGTTGCCACAGTTCTGTTGGCAAGGAATTTGTTGTATGAGGTCAGCATAAAATTAAATGTATCAAGATATACAACCTAGCACTGATTATACGCACAAAATTTAACGTGATGAAATATCATATATACCCATATTAACAAATAAAAAACCAATCAACTATGTATATAACACATTAAAACCGACCTAATAGTCTGACCAGACATAGGGCTGTTGTTGTTGTGGCCAGTTAAGATGGTGGTGTTGTTGTTGTTGTTGGAAGATTCAGTTGATAATGTCTGCAAGGTATTGGACTGTTTAACGTTAGAAGTTTTCAGTGGAGTGAGAGATGGCGAGTTGTTAGTCCTGTTGTTGTTGCTATTATTATTGGAGTTGTTGTTACTGTTGTTGTTGTTAGCATTCTGTGACAGCCCACTGTTAATGATGTTATAATAAAATCAAATTTAATCAGCCTGACATCTCAAGTCACATAGCACATGAGAAACGTTCTGACTACCAAACATCATCATCGAAGCAAATGAGGAACATACGATAGATAGCACATCATCCAGACAACAAAAAATCATTAAAAAAACACACCGTACTTATGTGATATAACTACAATAAAATAATTTTTGTACAATTTCTTGACACGTTTCTAAATGTAACATAAACCAAACAGTGACAGAATTTAAAGTTAGAAAAACCTTTCGTGTGTGATAGCAGGGGGTATAGAGGTGCCAGCGACGTTATTGTTATTCGTCGCCTTGGATACATTCTTACTTTTACCATCTTTACCGACGTGTTGCTCGTTGATCGTTGACGTATTGGATGAGGAGGAGAGAGTGGCTGCAACAGTAGAGCTGTTTTTCAGGAGAGATGGCGCGGTCGATTTTGAGGTCGTCGACGATGATGACGTCGTCGATGACGTTGCATTGGTAGCGGAGTTGGCAGCCGCTGCCACTGACGATGACGTCATTATCGTCAGGTTGTTCGTTAGGTTGTCCTGATAAGAGGATACGAAATGAATTAGAAAACAATTCAGTATCAAACAACATTTCATTCAACATCAAGGCAACATTTTATGTTGTAATAAAAATATAGTAAGAGTAAAATGAAATAATTCCTTTTCTGGCATCATCAAAAATTTAATTGGAAACATCATTTAGAAAGAAAAAAAGTTAAAATAAATAAATAAAGCTGCTGACAGAGAGTGTGCACTCGTCAATCTGCAATGGATTAATGACATTCATCATCTTATTCCCTCCCGCTGAAACACTTGTTGATGAAACACCGCTAGTCGAAGTTGTAGTGGTAGCGGTAGTAGCCACAGTGTTGTTGTTGTGTTGTGAGGTACCATTAGTGATATTATTGACTGGCAGTTGCTGCTGCTGCTGTGGGAAGAGGGGCTTCGGCCTCTGGATGATTGGATCTCGTGGGGGAATGGCATTGTCCAGGGCTGTTACTGGCCTGCGTACCTGCGTGTTGCCTGCTGTTTTGTGTTTGTGAGTGTGCGTGTGTGTACGTGCAAGCATCCGTTTGAGTGTGCGTGTGAATGTGTTAGTGTATCTATGTACACGCAAGTATTTGTTTCAATAAATAATAGGAACAACGAAGGAACAAGAAATAAATTAGATACAAAAAGGAGCAACAAACCAGGTAAGAGAACAGCATTATTGTTATGAGTGTCGTAGCTCGGTCTTCGACTGTTGGCTTTATGTTGGGGGTTAGTACTGGAGGGTCTGGGGATCTTCTCGGCTGTGTTAGGTACATCACTGTTTTGTTGATTGTTAGGGATTAGTGCGAGTGTGTTGATATCACTACCTGGACGTAGGGGGCCAGTTTGAAGTCGAGGAGTTTGACCGGATTGCATTGAGTCAAAATTTTCAGACTGTGTAAAGATATATGTAATATAAGTAAATAATAATAGTAAATTTTAGGTAGTTTCAAAGACGTTGCACTCAAATACACGCACACACGCACAAACACACACACACACGGTCACAAACACACACACACACATGCACGTGATAGACAGGCATCTCTCTGCATTAAAACTCAGTAATTGAAGCACGAACCTCAGGCGCTGGCCTCCCTAAGAGTAGGTAGGTGGCAGTTAGATTGTCATACTTGTTGCTATTCAGTGAATGTTCTATGTCCTTTCTACTGTACCCCATTGCTACCATCATGTCTGTATGAGCAGTAGTAATTGTTCGTATGTTAGTGTCAGGGTCTGAATGTTAATAATAATAATAATAAAATAATAATAATACTAATAACTATAATAATAATTATTATTATTATAACAACATCATAATAACCCCGAATGTTAGCTCTTAACATTTTTTTCTGAGAACTCATATCTAAATTTTTTTAGTGTGCAAACATTTGGTTAGCTTATTATCTATCTATCATACAGTACAGCATATGCACTTGTAATATCCTACGCTGATATAAACCAACACACACACACACACACACACACACACACACACACACACACACACACACACACACATGTGTGTTTGTCTGTGTGTATGTGGGCGTTTGTATGTGCGTATGTGCGCGTGCCTGGCTGGCCGGCTAACAGGTGCCATCCAACAATCACCATCAACATCTTCATCATGCTATCAATCAGTCATCATGTTTTCACGCCGTGGTGTATGTGTGTACTGGTTTGAAAAAAAATTAACGTAAACATCAAACGTTATGACCCTACAAACGAACGAACGAAAGAGCAAACAAACAAACAAACAAACGAACGAACGAACAAACAAACAAACAAATGAACAAACAAATAAACGTATGAATGAATACAAACAAACCAACAAGTTAGCCGCTCTAATAAACCAAGGTTCACAGTTTTTCAAGTAAGTTTAACAAAAAAAAACCTATACAAAGAGTCAAAGAAAAATGTAAACAACAAATTTTTTAATGTCCTAATGGAATTTGGAAAAATGTATTAAAAGTTTAGCATTACAAACACAATCAAAACACATTTAAGAGAATATATATGTTAAATGTTATACACATATACACACACACACACACACACACACATAAACACACACATACAAACTATGTATGCATTTATACTAAACTTTACATACACACATGATTCTGCACAAACAAAAATGTTTACATTTACATTTTAGTTTGCTGGTTCTTCTAAAACACACAACCCAATGCTTAGTGATTTTTCTTCTTCTTCATTTATGCATGAAAGAACAAATATAAGTCTTTATGTGCCTGCTTATGCTACATGCAAAACATGAAAACATGTGTGTACGTGCGTACACACACACACACACACACACACGCACGCACGCACACAAGCACAACACACACACAAATTTTATATGATAATACATGTGTGTGCTCTGATGTTTGCAGGTTAAATTTCTTGAACGGTTTGCAAAAAAAAATCATTATCATTGCAACCGTAATGTCATCATCGTCGTCGTCGTCATACGTACAAACACACATACGAATACAGACACACACGCACACACACATATACATACATACAGACAGACAATTGTACACACGCTAACAGGTGTCTAATTAATTGTACATTTAAATATGTATCATGTATCATGTAGATCAATGAATAACATCCTGATAGTCATCATATAAAGATAAGAAGCAGCTTAAATTTATCTGTATCTGTATGTGATTAACATCTATATTTAAATGTATTACAACAGAAATTAGAGAAAGAAATCGAAAGAGAGAGAGAGAGAGATGGAGAAAACGAGAGAGAGAGAAGGGGGGGAGAGAATATAATATAAATATAAAAGAGAGAAAATTTTACACTCCTTAAAAGAGATAAACAACACAGAGAAACTATTAAATTATTTGCATGAATCATAAAGAAGATCACTATTTCGCACACAAACACACACGCATACATAAGCACACACGTACATACACACATATACACACACACGCATACATAAGCACACACATACATACACACACACTGTCTTCATGGTGTGTTTGTTGATTGAATAAATATCCATCTATATATTCATTCAATATATTCAACTATCCATCCATCCATTCATTCATCCATTCATTCATCCATCCATTTAATCTATCCATCTATATACATATATTGATATCCATATACATTAAAACATTCACATACTCGCTTTATTTCAGGTAATTTTTCATGTAACTACATTTGAAAAAACTATCTTATTGAATGTCCTAATGTTTTTTATTTGTGTGTTTGTGTATATGCGTGTGTATGCGTGTGTGTGCGTGTGAGAGAGAAAAAAAGATTTTGTGTACGTGTACAATATATACATCAAAATTTCTAACATAATTCATAATTCATGGAATATAAACTGTAAATAAATAAATAAATAAACAAATAAATAATAACGATAATAACAACCACAAAAAACAACAACAATACTAAATAAAAATAATAAAAATAAAAATACTAAATTTAACAAATTAATAATAATAATGACTCACCGATGACTTTTGTATCAATGCATTTGACTGGCTCTAGGTACGGTTTCAACTTGCTTTCCTCATAACCAACATTCACCCAGGGATCAGTCATTATGTTCTGGAGTGAGTGAGCAAATGAATGAATGAATTAATTAATTAATTAATGAATTAATGGAGTTAGAAGAGGTGGATGATGAAGATATTTGAATCCATTACAACTGCACTCTCCTAAATCATCATCATAATAATCATCGTCATCATCATCGTTATCTTCATATATTACGTATCATCTATCTATCTGTCTATCTCTATCTATCTGTCTATCTCTATCTATCTGTCTATCTCTATCTATCTGTCTATCTCTATCTATCTGTCTATCTCTATCTATCTATCTATCTATCTATCTGTCTGTCTGTCTGTCTGTCTGTCTATCTATCTATCTATCTATCTATCTATCTATCTATCTATCGATCGATCTATCGATCGATCGATCGATCGATCGATCTATCTATCTATCTATCTATCTATCTATCTATCTATCTATCTATCTATCTATCTATCTATCTATCTATCTATCTATCTATCTATCTATCTATCTATCTATCTATCTATCTATCTATCTATCTATCTATCTATCTATCTATCTATCTATCTATCTATCTATCTATCTATCTATCTATCTATCTATCTATCTATCTATCTATCTATCTATCTATCTATCTATCTATCTATCTATCTATCTATCTATCTATCTATCTATCTATCTATCTATTATATATCATCGTTATAATCTCTATTATCACATCAGAATTAAAAAAGATTCTGCAACGTTCAATGGATGAAACCGAACATAATCACATATACATTACTCATCACTATGATGCTACAGTCATCATCGTCATCATCATGAACATTGTATTCATCATCATCATTATTACCATGATAACATCGTCATCATCATAATCATAATCCATACTTACGTCAATAAATCAATATACCCCGTCTGATATATCATACATATAACATATGTCTGACTATAATTATTATAGATACATATACAATACCTGTTACAATAGGATGTATGGATGTGTGTATATGAAAATAAAACATACGACGCCCATTCGAGCTTACAAACACATACATACACACATAATAAATACATACATACACACAATACATACATATATACATTCACACACACACAAACATACATACATACAAACAAACAAACAAACAAACATACATGCATGCATACATACAAACATGCTACGTGCAGATTGTACATACATAAACACTTCATAAACTTAACACTTACAAACATTTTATAGGAAAGATAACATTTATTAGACACACACACACACGAATACACATCTACATGCATTTATACATAATACACATACGAATGTGTGTGTGTGTGTGTATGTGTGTGTATGTGTGTGCGTTTGAGCGATCAAGTGAACATGTACATAAGCAACATGTATATAAGCGTGTGTGTGTACTTCAATTTATCTCCAACAATAAAAATGTAAGTATATATATATATAAGCAGACCACGAAAATGTAAAACTTCTGCCAAACGAACACACACACGCGGGCTCTCTCTCTCTCTCTCTCTCTCTCTCTCTCTCTCTCTCTCTCTCTCTCTCTCTCTCTCTCTCTGACACACACACACACACACAACACACACAAACATATGAACAGATACACACATTCCCGTACAAACAAACAAGCAAACACATATACATTCCCTTGGCATATACAGACAAACAAAGGAATAAGAAATACGTCGTAAGTAGATCATACATATAAACATTCCTACATACATACACAAACACACACACACCAAACAGACACACACACACATGTACAGACTAATAAACATAGAAGACGTAACAAAAACAAAAGCGTAGATAGACATAGACGTAGACATAGACAGTCTCAACAGCAAGAAACAAAACTTAATTTTATCAGAATGGAATTTATAGGCATTTCTTGTTGATTTCATTATTTTTTGCTTTTATTGTTACTTCACGATTATTATTATTGTTCATTTTTACACAAGAAAAATAAAACTTTTATGACATATCTTTACTGGGTATAAACTTGAAAACCAGGCAGCACTCAAATACACAGGCACAAACACACACACACACACGCACACACACACAAACACACACATTCCCAACTTTCCAGCAACCATTATAACCAAACATAGAGAAACCAATGTGTGATATATGTGCAAATGGACAGGGGATTACAAACATATGCCTTCATATATATAACAAGGTGCATTTCGTCATCATCGCCATCAGCATCATCATCGTCGCCATCATTATCAATAATATCATCATCATCATCTTCGCTGTCCCGTCATAGAGTCGATAAAAAAACGACATAATCACAAAACTATACGAACATTCATAGTAATAATAATTCTACTGTTCATCATCATCATCATCATCATCATCATCACCGATTACCATCATTATCATCATCATAAACATCAATGCATAACAATAATGACAAAAAAAAAACCATCAGGTATACCATCTCTGCCATTTATTATCATTAGAACATTCCCAACCTAGTCATCCTTAACAGATTACCTACCATAATACAACCACCTCCAACTATGGCCAGACCTGGGTCGTTGATATCAAAGTGTTTTAATAGTATCTGCGATGATATAGTATCGCCGATAGCTCTCCAGTGTTGGTTATGGTAGAATAAAAACAATACTTGAAGCAAACGTCGATGGGGTGTATATCTCATCAATGATCATTTCAATTTTCGAAATTGAGTGCGTTCCAATTGGCAATATAATTTTTTTTTCATTATTGGCAATAATAAAACTAATATTAACCAAAAGTCACACAAACACACACACGCGCACACACACACACACAAACAAACAAACAACTAGATAAACCGGCAGACTGAAACACAAGCAGAAACGAAGAGGCAGACAAAAAAACACATACAAATACGAAAACAGATAAAAAAGAAGTTTAAAGACTACACAAGTTTATAAATATATGTATATATATATTATAAATGGCTTGTATGTATATATATGTATATATATATATAATATAATGTTACATATAACATGATAATTTCAAAGGATATGAGCCATTACATGATTACACTCTGACAGACTCAATAAAATCATACAATAACAATAATAAGAGCAATAATATTAAAAAAACACATACACAAACAGACTGGCAGACACACACACACAAGCACAAACACACACAAACACAATATAGATAAAAATAAGCGCAATTAGCTGAATGAATTAATATTAATAACATCTACACACACACACACACGCGCGCACATAGCAAGCCTGATGAAAGCTTTTGAAAAGCCAACAAAAAAATTTTTGAGAGAAAAACAAAATGGAAACTGCGCTAGGAACATTTAATACGTTAACATTTAATAAAAACATAAAAGCAATAACAAATAACAATAATAAACGGTAAAAATAATAATAATAATAAAATTGATGAAGATGATAACGGTGGTGGTGATGATGACGGTGGTGGTAATGATGATGATACTAATATAATGATGGTAACGCGGTGATATCTGTTTCATCCATTCCCTTTCGGTTTTTCAGTAAATATTATTGACTGTATAAAGGTAATTCTTGGAATATATTATTATTATTGTTGTTGTTATTATTATTGTTATTATTATTATTATTATTATTGTTGTTGTTGTTGTTGTTGTTAATGTTGCTATTATTACTGCTGATGTTGTTGTTATTGTATAATTAATTATTATATTTGAGTGGCATCACCATTTCAGTCATCTCCCATTATGTGATGATCAGGAATGGGATGTGGATGATAAAAAATGCGAAGTAGTAGTAGTAGTAGCCGATTAAAAAGACGACCAGGATGTGAATGATGACCAGGAATGGGATGTAGATGGTAAGGATGACGAAGAAAAAGATGAAGAAGAAGAAGAAGAAGAAGAAGAAGAAGAAGAAGAAGAAGAAGAAGAAGAAGAAGAAGAAGAAGAAGACGATGATGAAAAAAGTTGACGATGATGATAAAGATGATGGAGAAGACGACGACGGAGACGATAATGACGACCAGGAGGGAGAAGAATGTTATAAAATAATGATGGCAAGGTCATAATAAAAACTGAATTCACTATAATACGGATATTTTTTTCTCTCCAGTTCTCACAGAGTAATAAAGAATATAAAGAATAATATAAAAAAAATGTCATAGATGTGTGCTCAGCTCATCAGTAACAATTATATATTAAAGGATGAACGACTTTAAACGTACACACATCCATACACAATTCCATCGCACACACATCCATTCCACTTTCATTCCACCCCATCACACATCCACTTCTGTTCTTTCATTCCACTCCATCATTCACTCATTCATTCATTCATTCATTCTTTCTTTCTTTACTATTTCATTCTTACTATTACCACAGTATTGTAGCAAGCAGTAGTAATAACAGCAGTATTCTTGCGGTTGGTTCCAATAATTTTACCGACTTGGCAGTTTTCGAATACTATATATATATATATATATATATATATATATATATATATATATTATTTAAACAATATATCATTATTTACAACGCAATATTACTTTTAATGTCATTGTTAACTATTATTATCGAGTATTATTAATTATTATTTTTATTAATTATTATTATTATTAGTTATTGTTATTATTATTGCTGTGGTTGTGATTATAAAACAATAGAGATAGATAATAGATATTGATTAGATGTGAACAGATTAAGTGTTAAGAATAGTCAGCACTTTGTATAGTACCATGCTGGGTGTTATTATTATTATTATTATTATAATTATTATTTTTATTACTACTGCTACTACTACTACTACTACTACTACCACGTGTATTATTGTCAGTGTGGTTAATGTACTAGGTTCGTATTGTTTAGGCGTATTTAAGTACCTAACAAATATAAATATACGCGTGTGTTGTATGTATGTATGTATGTATGTACGTACGTATGTATGCATGTTTGTATGTACGTATGTATGCGTGCGAATGTGTGAAAGATTTATATACAAACATGCCTACATATGCACACACGTATACAAATTTTTTTCTCAGTATTCCTGAGAATTTCTGTATTCTGTATTTCCCGGTATTGCTTGTATGGCTAAGTACAAAAAATACCATAAAATGTATCACTGATTAGGTCCATTTCTCCGTTTCAAGTATTTGTTAATGTTAATGAATATATATATACACTGTTAAAAAAATTGCTTTTGGTCATAATTTGGTCATGGTGAGCTGTTTGCACGGGTTTTGATTTATTATGATATACTATATGCGTAAAAATGTGCCGAGCTGTTGTGTATGTGTGTTTGTGTATATGTATGTGTGTGTGTGTGTGATTGTGTGGTGTATCTGAATGTGTGTGTGTGAGTGTGTGTGCGCGCGCGCGTCTACCACACAACTACACAGGGTATAAGGGTTTGTGATTAATACAAAAATAAGTAAATAAATAAATCTATAAAATACTTAGCTAATCAAAAGAGGTAATAAAACTGATGTATGGTTGCGATGATAATGAAGATGACGACGACGATAAAAATGATGATAATGATTGTACTGATGACGCTTGATTTAAAACTGATGATAGTAATGATGATGATGATGATGATGATGATAATTATGGAAAAGATGATGATGACGACGATGATGATGATGGACGTATGGGAACGACGACGATGATGATGATGAAGATGACGTGAAAAGAAATGTTTGATGATAAAAGTCTGATTGAATTAATGTATTAAAAAGATAAGGATGAAACTGTGAAAGTAAGTGAGATGATGATGAAGAGGATGATGGTGATGATGATGATGAGCATATAATGTAACAGCAAGAGATGAATAAATGGATGAATCAGCAGTTAAATGAATGAATGAATGACCAATTGAATGTGTGAGTGAAATATTAAAGGAAATAAATTTATTAAGGATAGGAAATAGATAATGAGGAATAAATTGAATGAATAAACAAGAAAGATGAATATGGGCAAGTGAATGATGAAAAAACCTATATCTTATGGATGAAAGAAAGATAGATAGAAAGGAAGATGGAAGGAAAGAGAAAATGAATGAACGAATGAATGAATGGATGAGTGAATGAATAAATGAATGAATGAATGAATAAAAAAGTGAATGAACTTGATTAACTGATTTATTGAATGACTGAAAAACTTATAAATAAACGAATAAACAAATGAATAAATGAACAAACAAATGAATGAATGAATGAATTTGATATTAAGGTTGAATCGACCTATAAAAAAAACGAAAAAATGTAGAAATTTATGAATGGATGGATGAATGAATGAATGAATGAATGAATGAATATGAAAACTTCTGAATGTACACAGCGAGCATGAAAAGAGGAAAGAAACGCAACAACATGGAAAACATGCTTGCGAGGGCGGATGGACTGAATGTACAAATAAATGAATGAATAAAGATAGACAGAATAACTCAACAAATGGAAAAATGAATTAAGCAACAGATGGATGGATGAATAGATGGATGGATGGATGGATGAATAAAAAAATATTTGTAAGGAAGATTGATTAAAAGAATGATAACAGAATTAAGGAACCTTCGAAAAAGAATGAATGAATGAATGGATGAACGAACGAATGGATGAACGAACGGATGGATGAACGAATGAATGGATGAACAAATGAATGGATGAACAAACGGATGAAAAAATGAATGGAATGAATGGATGGATAGATGAAAGAGAGCAAAGAACAGAGGAATGAAAGAAAATTTGTGTAATGTGCATGTTTCCCTTGGTGGCTTGCAGAAATATAACTCTAATGTGATTACAATTTGTTTGTAAGAATTCTACTATCAGTGCATTGCAAATAAGAAAAACAACAACAACAACAATAACAATAACAACAACAACAACAACAACATTAACAACAATAATAATAACAACAGCAACACAAACGATAACAATGATGGTTACATGATGAGGTAGATAGAGTAAAGGAACAAAAGAATGGAAAACACCATGAATCATTCATTAACACGTATAACTAGCAATAGACGGCGGACAACGTAAAGCTAAGGTAAACCAATGACAAAAAACACAAGAACACACACTTACACGGACGCACTCACACAAAGAAACACACACGCACTCACACAAAGAAACACACACACACTCACAAACACACACTCACGCACGCACACATAATAAATATGAAACATCCAATGAAGCAAAGGAGCAATTTTAAAATGAGTCAAGCAAATATTGTGCAATAAAGCAAATTAGATGTTATCTATATTGAAAATTTTCATATTACATGAACACACACCTACACGTACATGTACACACACACGCACACATTTAAACACATGCACACAGACATACACCTCAAATAAACCATGAGAGCAAACAATGATGCGTTAATGATTTATGACTTTAATAACTTCAACAGAACCATACCAGAGTTAACTTTTGAAAAATTTTAACACCTGGACTAAGAAATAACATCAGTAGCAGGCAAGCAACACACAGAGCAACCAAAACTCAGTGCAACAACCCATCGCATCAACACACAGTGACAACAACAACAACGCAACAGCCTCACAACATCTGTGTTAATATAGGTGGCCATTTTATATTTTTGGCATCTGTCTGCCCCCTTTGAGAAACTTTTGAAGAACTTGCAATTCTCAGAACAATAGTAATGACATTAATGTGAAATATCACAGCAACGGTTTAATTAATTAGTTAATTAACTAATTAATTATTCAATTAATTAATTAATTAATATTGACAACAGCAAACCTCTAACGAGTGCCTCTTCACAGGATTTAGTATGAGAAATTTCTTCAGTAGGTTTTCGCAGTCGGTTGACATGTAGAATGGGATCCTGTACTTTCCTCGCAGTACTCTTTCCCTAAGTTCCTAACGATGCGGAGAATGTGGAAAAATTGTGTGTGTGAGTGTGTGTACGTGACAACAGAGTGTGTGTGTGTGTGTTTGCGTAACAGACAGTGTGTGTTTGTGTGTTTGAGTGTTTAATTGCATTATGAAGCACCCTTAAATGTTTGCTTCAGTTCTGTGGCAATAGTTTTTTGGAAAATGTTTGAAGAGAAGAAAGAAATCAGAATGAAATACCTTGAGATTCTGACCATCAAATGGCAGTGAGCCACTGACCAGTGTATAAAGGATGACACCGAGACTCCAGACATCAACTTCAGGACCGTCATATTTCTTACCTAATCAAATAATTACGTAATTAATTAACCATTTACTTACTTGACTAATTAGTTATTTAATTGATTGACTGATTGACCGATTGGCCGATTGACTGATTGATTGATTGATTGATTAATGATTAAATTGGCAGTAATTTAATTCATAATAGAAATTATGAAGGCAAATAATTAAAGAATTAAATAAAAAAGCAAAAAATAAATTTAATTAATCAAATTTAAGCAGTTTAAGCTGTGTAAAACCGGCCAACAACTCTTTAAAAAATGAAAAAATGCAACATTATCTCTGACCATATATGGATATGAAAGAATTCTCACACACTTAACGCATCATTAATTGTATAAATATCACAGATAAATATTCACTTATCGCTACCATTTTAATCATCATCCTCACTATCATTACATCATCCCTTATCACCAGTATAATTAAAATCACCATATTTTTTAACCAACCAATGTGATCACCAAACCGGACAGCCAGTCAGCCAGACAACCGACCAACCAACAGACCAACCAGTCAGCCAATCACTAATCAGCCAACTATTCACCCACACCCACCAACGACGAATCAACCTTGAAAAAGTTCAGGGGCAGCATATGGAGGACTGCCACAGAAAGTATCAAGTTTGGCTCCTATGGTGAACTCATTGCTAAAGCCAAAGTCAGCAATCTTTATGTTTAAGTCTGCATCTAGGAGTAAATTTTCCGCCTGGTGTGGAAAAAATTATGAAGAAAAAAGTTAAACTACAAGAAAACTTGAATTGAGACATAGAAAATAAAATTTGAAAAATTATAAAGCTGATGTGGGTGTTCAGTTAAGAGGAAATTAATTAGCACTGAAGTAATAAAAAACAATTAACTAGCCAGCAAATGAAAGTCTTTATAAACAAAAAAAATCATAAACTAATTGCTAAACATTTAATAATTAAGTTATTAATCACTCATGATAAAGCTCCCACACACACACAAAGCAGCTACTGACAAACACACAGACACAGACAAAGGTAAACACAAAATCAGAGAAACAGACGGACAGATAGACAAACAGACAGATAGACAAACAGACAGACCTTGAGATCTCTATGTACGATATGCTTCTGATGGCAGTACTGAACAGCTGAGATGATCTGCCTGAACTTTGCCCTTGCCTCCTTCTCCTTCATCTTGCCATGGGCCACCAAGTAATCAAACACCTCACCTAGTACAGTAACAGTTGTAGTAGTTGTAGTAGCTGCAGCAACAGCAGAAGCGGTAGTAAAAGTAGTAGCAATTGTAGTAATTAATTATTCATTATATTATTTATGAATTATCTGTCATAGGTATAGCAATTATCCTTTTCCAAGCATGGCTGTTAGGTGTTTCCATTTCATAATTTGCTCAAAAATTGCGCTATATAAATGCATTGGACTGATGAATTGATGATTAAGATGATGATTAAGGTGATGATTAAGATGATAATGAGAAAGACGACGACGACGATGAAGATGAATGTGATATTAAAGACATGATTGTGATAAAAAATATTAATTTCAATTTAGCAGGATCAAACAAAACAAAACGAAGAGAAACAATAACAATAATAATAATAAACGAATAACAGTAATAATAAACGAATCATAATAATAAACGAATCATAATAATAGTAATAATTATAAATAAAAAACACTCTATACATTCTCTCACATTGTAAATAAGAGCTGCTACTAATGAATGATGAATGACGAAATGATATCAGGTATTAATAACTTTTATTATTACGGCTAATAAATTATTATTATTATTTTATAATTATTATCATTTTATAATTATTTTATAATTATTATTATTATTAACTCTCGCTCGCCTATAATAATAATGATAAATAATCTCTATTAAGAAAAATGGCATTAATATTATTTATCAATAATGACCAGTCAATTAATTATTTCCACATAATTACAACCATAATTATCAACGTATTATTTCTATAATAATAATAATTATTATCGTAAATAATATAACTAAAGAACTTTTCCTTAGTAGTCAGCAGTTTAAAGAGAGCAAATATGTACATTGTACATTATTTAATGATAATAAACAATCACTTTCATTTATAATTAATAGTAGTAGCAGCAGTAGTAGTCGCAGTAACAGTTATAGGAGTAGTCTTAGCAGCAGCAGCAGCAGTAGCGATAGTAGTAGTAGTAACCTCCACTAGCGTATTCCATAACTAGATACAATGTCCTTTCAGTTTCAATCACTTCAAATAACTTTACTGAAAAGAATTAAAATTTAAAAAATGTGATCACGAAATTTCAATTGATTGATTGGTCGATTGATTGATTGATTGATTGATTGGTCGATTGATTGATTGAATTACATGATTGGCCATTAGACGGATTGAGTTATAAGCTGATGCATAAAGGTAGAGATTGGAATAAGACAAAACGACTAGCAAACACGACGAAATGAAGAAAAAATTTTACACACAAAATAATAAACATTATCGCTGGCAACAACTACAACAACATTAACAACAAACAATAAAACGGCATCAACAACAACAACATCAACACAAATAACATCAGGGCAACTTCAACAATAACATCTATTAAAGTACTGATGTTATCAGAGGTAGGAGTGATAGGATCATCATGTTGATCAAATAACAACAACAACAACAACTATAATAAGAGGAACAAGAGTAGTAATAACAGTAATAAAAATAGTATAGTAAAAGTAATGATTGTGGAAAGAAGAGTAGTATTAGTATACAGTAGTAGTAGCAGTAGTAGTAAAAGAAGTAGTAGTAATAGTAGTATAATAGTAGTAGTAGTAGCAGGGTAGTAGCAGTAGTAGTAGTAGTAGTAATAGTAGTAGTAGTAGTATAGTAGTAGTAGTAGTAGTAGTAGTAGTAGTAGATGCAGTAAACGAAAGATGCAGTAGAAGAAATATGTTTTAAAAATGAACCCAAAATTAACGGAGCTACAGAGAAAAATATAACAATTAAACAATATGTTAGCAAGAAATGTTAGCATGTAGTGAGGTACATAATACAAGGTAACAAAAAAAACGAACGTCATTTACATTAACTAATTAGTTAGTTAATTAATTAATCATTTGATTAATTAATTAATTAATTAATTGATTCATTCATTCATTGAAAAAGATAATCACCAATGTTTGGATGGTCTAGCATCTTCATAATCCTTACTTCTCTGAAAAGCTACAAAATGAAAAAAATACATTCCTCTATTTTTTATTTCATTAAAAATTTTACAGTTAAAAAGCTCACAAGAGAACATACAAAACAACGTACCACATAAAAATCATATCACGCGCGCACACGCGCACACACACGAACGCACATACATACATATATAAATACACACACGTGTATATGAGCAAACAAAAAAACTTCCAAAAGTATAAACAAAACCCATTTAAATCAATTAAAAATTAAATTAGGGAAAAAATAAAATTCAAAAACAGGAAACACATCATCCACTAGATAAAGCATAGAAAGATTAACGTAATAATTCACAGATACAAAAAGGATGGACAGGAAATAAATGAATTAAAAAAACAAAGAACAAAAAGAAAAATTTAAAAATACTTTTTGAAGACTAGATGGATTTAGTTGAGTTTTGTCAATAATCTTAATGGCAACCTGTAAAAAAGTTGTTACATAATTATAATAATTATTTTTATTTTATTTTATCATATAAGTTATCAATGCACTTATAAAGCAGGTGACTTTTTCTATTGGGTTACAAAAAATATCAGGCCAAAAGTTGAATAAATGAATGAATAAATGAATGAATGAATAGATGAATGAATGAATAAATGAATGAATGAATGACTTAGAAAACAAGTGAGTCAATCTATGATAAAAAAAAAAATACAAATGAATTAATGTACCACAGGCAAGCAAACAAACAAATAAACAAACAAAATCGACCAACAAACAAACAAACCTCACAGCACAATTCAAAATATATAAATATATTTATTAATAAATATAAAAATTTTACACAAAAGAAATATTATTAATAAGTGTCCAGGTTTAAAAATAAATAAATAAATAATTGTGAAAAATTCCTACATGAAAATAAATAATATATTACCTTTAGACATGATACTAGATTGGACAACGAAAAATATAAATAAAAAAAAAGAATAATAAAAATCTAAGTGACACTCTCGTGATAATAATAATAAAAATAAGATGAATAATAATAATAACTGTGTGATCAATATTTATTGCTTAACAATGCTGTGTAACTGCAATGTAATCATGTTGTGTCATGTTGTATTGGTGTTAGACCATTTCTGTTATATTCATATTCGTGTGTTAAGGTTACACTCATTCTTGTGTAAAGGTATGCTAAGTCATGTAACAAACAACCTAACGAGTTAAATTTTTGTAAGTTAGATCATTTTGTTATGTGTTACTACGTTGTGTTACAGTTTGTCTTAGCGATTACTATGGGATTTTATCATTGCTGTTACATGGTGCTATGTTATATTGTTGTTGCTTTGCTATGTTATGTCATGTTGTGTAGTGTTTTCGATATATATATATATCATGATAGACATTAATAATAAAAAAATAAATATGTAAAAAAAAACCTCTCGGCCAGTAGGGACGTGCTTGGCTAGTTTGACCTTCGCAAAATTTCCTTTTCCTATCGTTTTGATGAGTCGATATTTGCCAATGTGCGGTTCATCTGGCCCTCGACTCCGAGAGGATATTCGTTGCTCGCAACCATCATTGTTCTGTTGTTTTTTTTCATTTGCAGGATAAATTAAACGGATATAAAAATAACATTAACGTTATTACATTAATTTGTTGTTATATAACATTCCAATAGACATAGCACTATGGCAACAATTTGTTGTTATCAAACATTATAACATAACATAGCTGTAATGTAACATTTAATTGTGCACATTAATTAATGCCGACATCATTATAAGATAATGGAATGCTAATTGAATGAAATGATTGAGTGATGATAGTGTAACATGTAATACAAATTATGTTGATACATTTTATCTTTTAGATATTAATGAGTTTAGCATGAAAAAATGTCGCACGAGGCGACAGGGGTTTCGGAAGTGGCGGCAGAACATATAAAAGCGAGTGGGGTGATAGGAATTGAAGTTATGATGAGAATTGCTAACAGTATGTTTGATGATGAAAGTATACCTGAGGATTGGCGACACAGTGTGTTGGTGCTGTTGTATAAGGGCAAAGGAGATGTGAGAGATTGTGGGTCATATAGGAGTGTGAAATTGTTAGAGCACGGAATGAAGGTAGTGGAGAGGGTGCTTGAGAGGAGGTTGAGAAATATGGTGACAGTTAATGAAATGCAGTGTGGGTTTATGCCTGGTAGGCGAACGGTGGATGCGTTGTTCATGGTGAGAATGTTGCAGGAGAATTATAGAAAGAAGAAACGAAGATTGTACATGTGCTTTGTGGATCTAGAAAAGGCTTTTGATCGAGTACCGAGGAAGGTCATTGAATGGGCGTTGAGGAAGAAAAGAGTGAATAGGAGACTTGTTAAAGCTGTGATGCAGCTGTATGAAGGGGCAAAGACAAAGGTGAGGGTTGGAAGGGGGATGTCGGACGCTTTTAGTGTTAAGGTAGGAGTGCATCAAGGATCAGTGTTATCACCGTTTCTGTTTGCAATTGTGATGGATGTTGTGTGTGGAAACATAATGGAGGGGTTGTTATCTGAGATTTTGTATGCAGATGATTTAGTCTTGATGGTGGATAGCATGGAAGAATTGCAGTTAAAATTTGACAGATGGAAAAGTGTTATTGAAAAGAAAGGGTTAAAAGTTAATATTGGTAAGACGAAGGTAATGGTGAGTGGGGAAGGTGGGGAGCGAGTGATAAGTAAAATAGACCCCTGTGGGGTATGTGACAGGAGAGTGAAGGCTAACTCGGTATTGTGTATAGGATGTCAGAAATGGGTGCATAAGAGATGTAGTGGTGTGAGGGGGGCACTGAAAAAGGTGGAAGGCATGTTCGAATGTAAGAAATGTGTTCATGGTGTGATTAATAGGACGGATGCAAGGACGGGGTTGAGTAGTGGTATTGAAAGAGTGGAAAGCTTTGTTTACTTAGGAGATAAGCTGAACGCGGATGGAGGATGTTTGAGCGCAGTTACGGCTAGAGTTCGTATAGGATGGATGAAATTTAGGGAACTGGGTGGGGTATTGTGTGGAAAGAAATGGTCAGTGAAGATGAAAGGGAGGGTATATAAAGCATGTGTGAGAGCAGCGATGGTATATGGTGGTGAAACTTGGGTGTTGAGGAGAG